GATGTGACGGGAAATCTTCTTTTTCATAGTGCACTTTTTAGGAGTTTGGATGACTAAACAAGGGAATGATCGCATCATCATGCATGTTCGTTCATTCCAATCAAATCAAATCGCCGCCGTCCGTAATTGGCGCTACTGCGCTCCTGTACATGTGATTGCTCTAATCAGCATCATTGGGCATGGATTTGCCCTTAATCATGATTGAACTCTAGGATTTTGTCATGGATTACACTAACCGAACGAACTGATTCTCGTAAAATTACTCTTAAATTTTTCTTGGAATGCATTTATTACAGGACGGAGGGAGTAGTCACCAAATTAACCAAATTAAACTTGTTCCGACAAAATGTCTATTTGAATAAGAAAGCTAGTTACTCCCTTCGTCCTGAAATATAGCGCATTCTGGTCATTCTCAGATAAAATAAGAGAGAGTACCATAGACGCATGTACCCCTCACTTATTTTCCTATTCACTTATTTTCCTACTCTATTAAAATCTGATTTCATTCCTGCATGATTAAAGAGTAAATTCTTATGGCACCACCAATTGAGCTTAACACTATTAGTAGTTCTAGTATAAATAGAGTGATCCACATAGACTAGAAAATATTGAGACTACTCTTCACACGATGTAAACTATCACTACTTGTGGTTTGCACATAAACTTTTTTCTTTCATCATGCCTCACATTTATTTCGTCTCCCTCTTCTTTTTTAGTATGGACCGCCTTCTTTCTTCACGAACATATGTAGTTTCTGCAAGCAACTATGACAAGTACAGAGCACCTACTTTTTTATCCAATCCTACGTGGCCCTTGAGGCTACAAGTAAAAAAACAGCTTTGGGGAAGGCCTCAGTCTCCTTGTACAAAATATGGCAAGTACATGAATTATTTTACTTTACTTATACAAACTAATCACGCATTTTATTTAAGTAAACATTATCTTCTTGTTCCCCGAATGCACTATATATTAGGATAAATTTCAAATACCAGAATGCACTATATTTTAGGACAAAGGGAGTATAGCCCAACAAAATTAGTTATTTGTCATTTTCAAGAGCATTTTGTAAATTTGCTATTCTCAAGATTAACTTCGCAAAAATTACTATTTAGATCACACACACTTTGATTAATATGCCATTTTGCCTCTTTTAATTATTTTCCAGTTGTTTCTCTAGGAATATCTACCACCAGAATTGACTAAAATGGCAATTATGTGAAGCCCATTTTAAAGATGGCAAATCGGCAAAGCCCAATCTTAAACATGAAAAATAGCCAATTTCTCTTGCTTACACAATACTCTTATATTCAATGTATAGATGTTTCTTTCGAGTGAGCGTGTAAGATGGAGCACCATGTTTAGATATTGACCTTAAATAAGTTTTTATGACCATCAATGAACCATCTCAAACTGTGCAGCTATTATACAAATTTTCTAAACTAGGCAAATATCTGTTTCAATAGCACAATTTAACATCTCAGACATGTCCAATCCTTGTTAATTTAGCAGCTACTCCCTCTGTAAAAAAAAGAAAATCTCACTTCCAGAGAAGTTGAACATTTCCAAGTTTAACTTAGCTTTATCGAAAATAGTATCAACATTTGTACTTTCAAATTTTGCTATGAAAATATATTTTATGGTTAATTTAGTGATATTTATTATTCATCATAAATATTATTATTTTATTTATTGATTTATATATTTAGTTAAACTTGATTGTTTGACTCCTCGTGAAGCAAGGTTTTCACTCTTTGTTCGATGGAGGGGAATATATAGTACTCCCTCCATTTCAAATTATAAATCGTTTTGACTTTTTTTCACTCATTTTACTATGTATCTAGACATAATATTATATCTAGATGCATAATAAAATGGATGTATCAAAAAAGTTAAAGCGACTTATAATTTGGAACGGATGGAGTAGCTAAAGTACTGCCTGCCATGTGTGCTGGCTACCGTATCATCAATGCCTGTAACACTATTTTACATGTATTTTTTACTAAGCCATCAGTAGGCCGTGTCATTATCTTATCTTGTGCCCTCCAACCGGACCGGGGGTCTGCCCTACACTGCTGCCTGCTGGGATAGCTTGTAGTGATCATAGATCATTGTAGGGGCCTCCCTCTCTAAAAGGATCCAAGATCCGGCCTTGGGGCGTCCGAATTGACCCTTCGTCGTCGTTTAACTTGCGTTGGAGCTACAAAGGTAGGGACAGGCAGGGAGACCCTTAGCATATGACATTGTAGTTAAACTACTAAATCACAAGCCGCGTCCAATCCTGTCTGAGTGAGAATGAAAAAAAATCTCAAGGTCCATCCAACTGTTTCCATGGATAAGACATACTCCTATATATATGCTGGCCTACATTAGAAATCTCTTCCAATAGTTTGCCACTTACATGCTTGTTATTGTTACAAAGTAGTTCCATTGGCCCATTTGTACTTTGGAATGATGCATGTTTTGCCTTGCCCCATCAGTCCTTGTGTCATTTGCATGAGCAAGGAGTACAGTACTAGTGGTACTGAAAAATGATATTTAGGTAGACGTGCTCACTCAAGTGTGATCCCATATATGGCCTCAAGTCCTAACTTGAGATTATGTTATGTTACTGTTAATAAGCATGCTAGCAGGGTGAACAATTCTTTTTAAAAATTTTAAAAATAAAAATAATTTCACAGACAATGCCCCAGTCCACATGCATTTGCAAGACGAGTAGAACTCAGATCGTTTTAACTCAGTCTACACAACATGCTGAACAAATAAGAGGAATGTATGGCTAAGCCACCGACCGACTGATTATGCTAATAATTTGAGCTCGTAAACGCATTAGCAAAGTTAAAAAATTATAGGATCCAATGTTCTGAGATTTACATGAGAAACAAAACAAAAACAATAATTGGGGGGGATATCAGAATCCAAAGAAGAGCAATAGTTTTAGTGTCGCCTTGTCCTCTTCTCTTTCTATTCTTTGGGTTTTCTTGCTGTGAAAAAAAGAGACGTGGATTGGATTAGCTGTGCACAGGGGAAGGCTCTGCTTGCAGTATTGCAGTGACTGCCTCTGGAGTCTGCAAGGCAAGCAGACAAGAGCCACAGGACAAGAGCTGCTGAGCCGTGCATTTGAGATTCTCCTCTAAAAGGTCTATATATACACTATTAGACTCCCATTCCCATACCACGTACTCTTGTTTCATGAGATGGAAAGCTAGAAAGGCAGGTAAAAAGCTTCATCACATACTCCTATGTGCTAACAGTCCAGTCAATTCTGCATTCTGACGGCGTGCTCCTGCTCGCTTATGCTGAAATTTGGCTTATGCAGATACTTATGTTGAAATATTATGAGAGAAAAACACTGTTCGATAACTGAAAAGTAGTGTCGAATAAGCTCAAGCGAACACTTAACGCTGCTGCACTGCAGCTTCGTGGTCCATGTTCAGGATCTCACACTATTTGGTCCAGCTTTACCGTGCAATAACTGGAGTGAGGCAGGTCCAGCCAATGAACAGTAGCGGCGGCAGTAGACAGTGGACAAATGCGTGCATGCTTAGCTGGGGCCTGGGGGAAGGAGGGTACGTGTACAGTGCCCCCATTACAGGGGCAGCAGGACAGGATCTCCATGGCAGCAGGACAAGCTGCAAGGACCAAGGTCTCTTCATGGCGGTAAGGCCCGTAGGTAGGGCAAGCATAGTTAAAACGCCCCCTCTTCAATGGATGCGGCGGGTGGTACTTGGCTGCATGGGTTGTGCCTGTGCAGATCCTCAAGGATATGATGATCATGGGTGCTAAAACAGCAAGCACAACAGTCTTCGATTTAGTGGGTGTTTGGTTTGGCTGTTGGCTTCAGCTTTTGCTCCCAAAAGCCCAAAAGCCAACCAAAGGCCTTTACCTGGACCATCAGCTTCTCCAAAAGTTAGCTTTTATGTAGTTCAATTTCCATAGCAAGGGTCAAGCTGGTGTAACTTTCATCAAAATTACCCGCAATGCCATCCATTACAGAAGAAAACGTTTCGTTCCTCTTCGTTCTTTACCCTCGCATCTGCTCGAGAGCGCTCGCTCCACACGCATCCGCTCGGGCCGGCCACGCTAGGGTTTCTCGGTGGCGGCGGCAAGACTCCTCGCCACCCCCGCCTGGTGTGCTCCGGTGCCGTCGGTCCTCTCCGTCCTCACCCCGATCCACTCCTTCGTTGCCCCGCTCGTCGCCGCCGTCGAGAGTCGCCATCCCTGGCCCGTCTCGGCCAGTCGGCTTCAAGGTCGGAGCCCCTACAGATTCGTCGTCCGCTCCTTTCCAGCAACCAAAGCAGTCACGGCTCCATCGATCTCGCCTCCCGGTCATGACCGGATCTGCAATGTAGGTACGTCAATCTCTGGTAAATGGTTCGATGCATGTTATTCATTCAGTCTAGTGTGTTGTGTGTATGATAAAAATGATGCCATGGTATTATGGTAATTAGAAAGTCTAAAAAATTGTTTTGTTTGATTCAAGAATGGGTGACAAGGCAGACTAGAGTGATTTCTTTTTGAAGCATTTGATTGATATATGCAAAGGAGAGGTAGAAGCAGGGAATAGGCCCCTAGGACTTTTCACTAGTACTAGATGGAAAAATCTCGTATCTAAGTTTGCAGAAAGAACCGGTGACCTGCGAACAAAGATACAGTTGAAGAACAAATTAGACAACATAAAAAGGAATATGGATGGTGTAAACGCCCCAGCCCGGGAAGACGGCTAAAATTCACTCTGCATGTTAAATAGACCACACCTACTAATTAACTCTTTTACACTTTCATCCTCGCTTCGCACAAAAAGATCAATTCGGAGTTAATTTCCTGCCGGAGCTCAGGCTTTTAAGTTGGTTCAACCCTTCCTCTGGTTCCGAGGCGGTACTGAACCTGCCTGCTACAGTACCTTCCGTGGCTACAGTAACCGACAACCCGAGCTACAGTAGTTTGGCGGCCCAGCCCCATCAGACCGGCCCAGCTTTGGCCCATTTAGTGGGGTCTCATAGATGGTTCATGAGTTCAAGAATTATACGGCTGGACTTGGATGGGACGCGGTAAAGAGAACTGTTGATTGCCCTTAGGAATGGTGGACTAAACACCTTGCTGTAAGAACTGAACTCTCACTATTGATATTCTTTTTCATACTTTGATATGGTGTGCCTCGCTAAAATTTTTCATTCAATTTTAGAGATGTGATAACCGTGAAAAAGGACTAAAATGCAACCATGTGAGGTTCAGAAAACAAGGACCGAAGTACCTTGATGATTTGAGGCAAGTGATGAGGACGCGGCCGAGGTACCAAAACCTCCGGAGAATGATGATGTCAAGCTGGCCGCTTTGAAGAAACAAGGAAAAAGAAACGCAAGAGGTCTTGTACAGCCACTGCAGCCAAAGAGTGAAGAGTCCATTTTTCGCATGTACAAAACACACATGTTTGAAGATAGAAAATGCAACAGACAAGATCTCCTCAAGTGTATCTGCATCATCAGCTCCTCCAACTAATTTAGTCCTCACTATTGAAGAGGCTATGACGATGGTCGAAGAGTGTGGGGGTGGAAGAAGGAACTGCTCTAATACACACTACCACCATGCTGATTATGAAGCCTGATTTTAGAGAGGTCTTCAGCCATCTGAAAACAAATAAAGGAAGGCCGGATATGATTGAGAGGGAGCATGAAAAGGAGATGATGAGACGCCAGTAAACCAATTTTTATTTCTATTGTTGTCGTGTGAACCAATTTTAATTTCTACTATGAGAACTATTAGTTGTATGGCTGTAACAAATAATTTGCTTGTGCTGAGACTATTTGCTTGCGCTGAGACTATTTGTGATATTATTTCTTTGTGTGAGATTATTTCTCTGTGTCAGATTATATCCTTATGTGAGATTATTTCCTTGTGTCAGATTATTTCTTTGTATTAGATTATATCCTTGTGCATATACTGATGTATCCTAGATCAATTGAATTAATAAATTTTAATATCCTTTGTAGATGGATGACAACTTGGAAGGTGTAGCTAAAGAAGGACAAAAGGGACTAGTACTCCTAGCTGAGCTTTCCCAGCATGCTACTGTTATTGGTCAAATGGGTGCACAATACACTGAGCGTTATTTTGACAAAGGTGAGTATAGGAAAACACCAGAAACTGGAATTCAATGGGTGATGAGGTACTTTGCTCGTCCAAGGTACTTCTATAAGATGTTTCGAATGAGCACCGAGGTCTTCACAGCACTACATGAGTTGCTAGTATCTACCTACGGTTTGACATCCACTAACAATGTTTCATCCATTGAGTCATTGGCAATGTTCTTGTGGATTGTTGGAGGCCCACAATCATTTTCACAAAGCTGAAAATCGCTTCACTCGGTCACTGTGGACAGTTCACACTAAGTGGACAGTTCACACTAAGTTTCACGAGGTACTTAAGTGTTTGCGCAAGTTAGCTAAGGACAAATTAAGTCGAGAGATGCTAGTTTTTCTACATAACATGAAACAATCAAAGATGAACGTTTCTGGCCTTACTTCAAAGGCGCTATTGGAGCAATAGACGGTTCACATGTTCCAGTGGTTGTGCCAGCGGAGGATATGGTTAATCACACATGCCATCAATGATATACAACTCAGAATATGCTAGCTATTTGTGACTTTGACATGAGGTTTATCTTTGCGGTTGCTGGTTGGCCCGATTGTGCACATGACACACGTATCCTCAACCATGCATTGGCAAATTTTCCTTCATTCCCCGTGCCTCCTAAAGGTATACACATATCTTACTAAGGTAGCAGTAAAGTACTTGTATTATTATTTGCTTATACTGATTTGATTTTGTAGAAAAATATTATCTCGTGGACTCTGGTTTTCTAAACCGAATAGGGTATCTGACCCCTTTTAAAGGAAGCACGTACCATATACCAGAATTTCATAATCATTCTGGACCACCCCAAGGGAAGTATGAGGTGTTCAATTTCTTACATTCATCCCTTCAAAATGTCATTGAGCGGGCTTTCGGAGTATTGAAGGAGAAGTGGCGTATTTTGAAGGGCATACCAAGTTTTTCAACTCGTACTCAGAAGCATATCATCATTGCTTGTTTGGCATTGCATAATTTTATCCGTGACAGCAACTTGCGTGATAAGGAGTTTGAGAGATGTAATGCTGATGAGGAATACTTGGTACAAGAGACAAGTGGCACAACACAAACACAGGGAGATGAGAGTGAAGATGTGGAGAATGAGGATACCATGAACACCATTCGTAGTAGAATAGCTAATGCTTTGGTTAGTGCGAGAGGAGGATAGTTATGTTCAGGGATAACATAATTGGATGAGCCCTTATGTTTTTGTTCTATTTATGTGGACCATATCACTTTGAATGATAAAAAAACTTAGAATAAATTAATATTTCCTTTCCAAAATAATTATTTACATGTGAATAAATGAGTGCAACAGTTATTTACGAGCAATTTGCATATAAATAGTCCCTCAGGCCTTTAGGGACATTACAGACATTTCTTATATAGCCTACAGTTTCACAGCTCCTCCAACCAAACGACTTTCAGTTTTTCCCATAGCTCTCAGCTCACAGTAGTTTTTCCACAGCCCATAGCTCACAGCAGCTTTTTCAAAATTCACAGCTCAACCAAATAGGGCCTTAACAGCCAACCAGAAAGTCATGTTTGGTCTTTCCAGAAGCAGAAACATGCCAGTACAGAACCCTATTTCCAGAAGCAGAAATAATGGTCTATTTTTTAAAAAAAACATAGCAGGAGTTCGGCCTCTCAATTAAGGAAAGATAAAGGTTTATGTATAGAATGCCTGAAGGCCTAAAACACCCCAGAGGGCACAACCTAGGTATAGAAGAACGAATTCCTCTCCCCTTAGCCTCCTCTCCCCTTAGGGAAAAAACAGAGGGGGCTAAGTTATGCTTCTAAAGACCCGTGATCGAAGGTCAATGTCTTCTTTGGTTTTGGAGGCCACCTGTCTTGCATCCATGGCAGTGTTTTGAAAAATCCTTCTATTTTTTTCTTTCCAAATGTTCCACATCGTGTAAATCACCACTCCGTTGAAGTGTCGTCGTCGCTGCCTTGGGATTGTGGCAGCCGCTTCCTCCCACCAAGCACGGATTTCTGTTGGCTGGACCTGTGGCTGGATTAGTTGCACATCAAAATGTTCCCAGGTCAGCACAAGGTTCCAAATCTCTTTGGCTAGAGGGCACAACAAGCATAGGTGAAGGCCCGATTCCAGTGGTCTGTTGCACATGACGCAGTGGTCTTGGTGCGACCAGTTCCTTAACTGCAAGTTGTCAGCCGTGAGGATTTTGTTTTGCACAAGGATCCAGACGAAGAATTTACATTTGTTCTCAGTATGTGCTTTCCATATAAGGTTTGGCCAGAATCTTCTATAGCATCCTTAATTGTATGCGGTATGCCAAGCGGGTGGAGTATATGCCATCAAGCGTCCACTTCTAAGTAATGGAGTCTTAAACTCCCTGCTGTAGTAGGATGTTTTGTATTCTGATCCATAAGGATATGAATTCCTCTAGGTGTGTGGCCGTTGTGATCTTGCCCCCGAGAGATTGAATCTAGCCATCGTTTTGGAGCTCCTACTGGACCGATCTATTCTTTCTTCTCACTAGCTCAAAGAGTTGCGACGCAAGGTTCCTAGGAGCCTCTCCCTCTAGCCAGCTATGATGCTAAAATTGCGCTTTCATGCCGTTTCCGACTGTGACAATGGTTGATGCATTGAACAACAATCTGTCGGTCGTTTTGCAAGGTACCTCGGAGCTGGCCCACGGCTTGGAGGGATCCACCCAGTCCTGCCACAGCCAACGTAATCGAAGTGCTCTACCAAACTTGTCCAGGTCAGGGGGACCGAGCCTCAGCTCGGATGGTGAGCTCTCCCGGTGTGGAAGCCACCGGTCCTGGGTTCGAGCCCTGCTCGGCTCAGTGATTTCCCACCGTGGGATTTATTCCCAAAAATTTAATCTTGCAGGTCCTGGACACTCGCATGGCATTACAATGGGACTACGACGTGCTCGTCGTCTACGAGGCTCGTGTGGCTTCGGTGATTTCCAGAAGGACGCTTGAGGTGTATAGGTTGTAGCTTCTAGGGGTGTGCGTGTGTGTGGTGGTGTGAGTGTGTTGTGTTGAGTACAGATACTACAACTTATACACTAGGAGTCCACGCTAAAAAAAAAACTTGTCCAGGTCAGGCACCCCGAGACCACCAAGCTCCTTAGGGTTGGACACAGTTGGCCATTTGATGAGGCAATGTCCCCCGTTCGCGTTTTCTTCCCCCTTCCATAGAAAAGACCTACGAATCTTGTCAATCTGTTTCCTGGCCCAGGCAGCTAGTGAGAAGACGGTCAGGTGGTATGTAGGCATAGACGTATCCTCATCTCTACATGCATCAATGCATTATATACAGACAAATGCACTTACTGGAGCAAAATGAAAAGCATAGGACATGACACTATATTGATAGGCACCGCATCTAATCAAATGGGCTTAAAGTGTACTGTAAACACTATCTGCGGTAAAAGGAAGACACCAAACTAAAGAGAGATTGCAGAGCAGAATAATGTAACTGAAACAGCACGCTATCCTTTGGAAAATGAAACAGCAATATGTGCAAGGGTAAACCACAACATGCTATATATGAAGAAAACCACAAAAAAGAAAATTGAAAACCTAATTGAGCGCCTAAATGTGCCCATTCCCAGGATTTTTTAGCAGTTTATCCTAGAACTTAGAGTAAAAATAGGTTTGACAGTCAATAAGCACAAGAAGCAACGCAGTGCTTGATGGTCTGCCGTCATATGCCATGGGAGCCCTCTTCCTGCCAGTGGGAGTCAAGGAGGCCTTGGATGCTAAACGCAGCGCCTTTCTCCGGAATGGATCAGACAAGACCACTGGGAGAAAATGCCTGGTTGCATGGGAGAATGTATGCAAGGCAAAGGAAGATGGGGGACTCGGGATCAAACGCTTGGACACCCAAAATGCTTGTCTGCTGATTAAACTCATTCACAGGCTTCACCATCCGGGGGACTCTTCCTGGGCAGCTTGGGCAAGGGGCCGTGTCCGGCTGGCTGACCTCCAAGGAGATGTAGCCGGCCCACACTGGGAAGCGATCAGGGAACTGCTGCCTGCCTACAGGAGTATTTCTCATGTCAGAGTGGGCAATGGCGAAGACACATCCTTCTGGCTGGACCGGTGGTTAACAAGTTCAACACTAGCTGATGCTTTCCCCTCGCTACACAGTCACTTCACCAAAGGAGACGCCTCAGTGCATACAGTCCTCAATGGTGACTGGCGATCAATGCTTCAGTCACGGCTATCCCCACAAGCTGAAGACGAGTTGGATCAGCTGAGACACCTTCTACACGAGGTGACGCTCGAAGCCACCCCTGACGATAGAATCTGTGTGTTTGCCAAGCACGATGGCAAGCTTGCTGCCGGGATGATCTATAGGGCATCGATCAGAGGCGAGCAGAAGCTGCCTTCCTTTGATTTTGTATGGCGCAACTTTGCACCTCCACGTGTGAAATTCTTCGTTTGGCCTTTGGTTCAAGACAGGATCCAGTGCAAGACCAATTTGGCAAGGAAAGGGCTCTTGTCAGATGCAATCTGTGACCTGTGCAAGCGCCAGAATGAAGACGCAGATCACATTGTGTCAGGCTGTTCCTTTGCTCGCTCATTCTGGAGAAGGATTGGATGGCAGCCAAATGCAGTTCAGAGCCTCTGCGAAACCAGGATGCCAGACCAAGTGCCCAAGGAAGCGGCCTCGAGCTTTCTTCTCTTGTGCTGTTGGGAGCTATGGAAGCACCGCCATGATGTGATCTTCAGAGGAATGACGCCGAATGTAGAAAGATTGGTAGCCACCTGCAAAGCCACCGCTGTTCTGTGGTAATGCCGGCTACCTAGAAGCTCCACCGCCTTGTCTAGTTTCTGGAGATCCATTAGTTTCATGTAATTGTGATGTATTGCTCTCCTGCCTCGCTCTCTATTTGTAACTATGGCGCCAAGCCAAACCCTCTGGGCTAATGCCCTTCCATTCCTGGGATCTGTGGTAATCAAATCAGGTGGGGACAAATCGTCCCCCGTAGCATCTTAAAAAAAATAAGCACAAGGAGCTAGCTCTAGAGCTTAAAGGGACATTTACCTGAATATTCTCACAAGCTATTGAATATTATCAACCAAAATCATAAAACAATCTTCAGATAATATCAACATCTAAACCCTACATCACCAAGTATATGGGTCATGCAGATACAACTCAATTCATACACCTCTTTTATGCATAATGATACAAAACACATACACTGATACACCATGGCACATAGTATCAGAGAAA